AAAAACCACAAAAAAACAACAGAGCTGGAAGATCCCAGCCAGCTGCAACTCTTCAAGAGCTAATTTGAGAGCACACATTGGAAACACCAACTACCAGAATAGTCCAGCTGGGGATTTATTAGGGTAAAGCCTTGTTCTGATCATTCAGGAGGATTTTCTGAAAGTAAGGCATTGAGATAATGCATGCAGAAGCCTTTCACTCAGGAAATGCAGCAAGTATCAGAAAATTTACTTTCAGACAGTCATACATTTATGTACCCTGGAATTCCTGGGTGTATTCAAAACCTTGGTGTTAGGGGAATGAAAAATAAATTCTCAGTAATTCATTAACTTTGTCAGTGAACATCCACTACTTCAACTTGTAGTCTTCATGCTGTTCACTGAAATCTCTCCAACTTTAACATGGATACATTTGGGATTGCATTTTCATATTTATGCACCATGCCATTTAAGGAAGCATTTGATCATCCAGGTCTGATCCCTGAAATAATGCTGTCTTGACAGATACTTGGCCACATGTGAGGTATACGAAGTATGTACAAATGCAGAATTCACCTCAGCTAGAAATTAGCCTGAACTAGGCTTGATAGTACTTGACAATGTTATCTTTTTTTTCTCTTTTTTTGCAGTTTGACTTGTTAGAAGATGATTGCTACATGAATGCACAGCATGCGCAAACTGCTGAATAAAATTGCTTCTCTTTTGGTTGGGTAATCTGTCAAAAAGGTATACAGCACTCAGCAAGATTAGATTCCTTTAAAAAGTCTTGTGTCTCATGGCACCAATGCATATGGAAAGAGTTGCCATGATGGGAAGGTTCCTCTACAGTGAGCCAGTATGCAAGTTTAACATGGACTAATTATTCCACACCAACTTCCCATTTAGACATTGACACAAGTACTGCCATGGAACACTATTTCAGAACTGCAATTTAAGGTATTACTCCTGACACTCCTTTTCTCCCAGGCTCAGTTGGGAATCCGTGAACAGAAATTTCCAGCAATACCCACTCCAAATTTCTCCGTGACATCTTTGTTCTACATGGTCTTTTCTCCAGCCCCCTACTAGTTTTTGGGGAGTAATAGAAAAATACAAAAAGGACAGGATTACTAAGATACAAACCCACACATCCCACTACTACCACAACTATACAAGTGAGAGCAAATGAAAAAAATTTGGGCTATGCCTCTGCATAAAGAGGCTGCAACTCTATTTAAACAACTTCTTATGTAATAGTAGTTAGTGTTCCTTGCACCTCACGATCAGCTCGCTCTCCTTATTAATAAAGCACAAGTGCATTGGCCAACACCAGCATCAAATCCTAGAACACCACTAATCCCGCTACAATACAGTAAGAGTCAGAAGCATAGGCCTGGCTGATCAAGAGATGGGAGACTGTTCCTGCTGCTGTCTGAATTCAGGGCGCATTTATTTACAGATGTACTAGGTAAGACTGCCGGACTTCTTGCATTTGTTTTCCAGAGTACTCCTGGAGCGCTATTATGTTAAACATAAGTATCTTTTCTTCACTGCTTACCTGGTTCTTGACTGTAGTTGGGGGCATACATATAGCACCAACCTTCTGAGCTTCTTCAAAAAGGTTATCTACAAAGTAGTCACAGTTCTGTTCTGTACCATTCAAAATCTGATCATCGGTTCCCGATTTGCACATCCTGCAGAACAAAGACGTAAGTAAAAACGATGCCTCAGAGAATGCATCAGAAGACAAGCAGTTACCCTAGAAGTTCAGTACAAAGAGATGTAAAAGGCAAGCTCCCCTGCAACCAGCTTACTCGGCTGTTACAAAACATCAGGTCAACTTTGCGTTGTGCCTTTTCCAGAAACTTCTTACGAATCTGTAGCTGCTACTATTTGCACTTCAGAAACACAAATTAAAGAATGACAACGGAAAAGGTGAATTCATCTATGCAGAAGCTTCTAAACTTGGTATCAGAGCAAGGAATGCAAGTTAGATGATTCACCCTTCTAATTCAGACCATCAAACATTTAAATGCTCCATGATATAGGCTTGGGTGACTTCCTTTGCCATAACTTTTAAAAACCACATACAAGAAAATTGCCCTAGGATTTACTCCCCCACCTGAACCTCCCTGTTCCCAGCACCATCACAGAACCACCACTACTGTCTTTGAAAGTAACTTCGATAAACTCAAGAACAAGTGACTCAACACCACTTAAGCACACCGAAGAAATACAACAGAAGACTTCAATACTGCAAAGACTGCCAGAGTATTAAAAAAGATGCATCGACCGCATCTTTGTATAGAACACTGTATATGTGACAGCTGTTTGTTAGATTTTCACCAGTAAAATGCAGAAATATGCAACCTGAATTAATGATTATCTTTCAGTGTAGGTTCTTTGCACAGTAAGAGGATTATGCAGCTTTTGGTAAACATTGCAGGAATTATTCCTATTGGAGATTCAGAAAAGTCTATTTTAAGCAATTCCAGCTCTTGCAAAATATCCAGTTTTACATAAAACTCTGCATTGAATTAAAAAACAGCAATGCTTACTTGAATGGTAATTAGATACATTTGCATAAAAAGGAATTGTTTGCAGTACATCTATGCAACACTAAGAATCCCTACAGATTAACATCTTTAAACAAAAGAAAAACTGAACAACATTGAAGAAGTTATTTCAAAAGTATGCTGCCCCCATTTTAATTTTCTAACAGAACAAAAGAAACTAGAAGTGTTAATCTAGGTATTCACTATGCTTTACTTCAGAAACATAACTGGAAAACCAAACACGTTCATACACATCAAATGTAGAGGTGCAGAGTGAGTTAGCAATTTATAATTTGTAAGGCTGCCTTTCTATTTTAAATAAAAATATTTACATGGCTTCTTGCATCTAGGAAACATTCCAGGTATCTGAAAAATCTTTTAGCAAAGCAGTATATGTATTTTTTTTAAAAACTTCAATATATGTGGAGCAGGTGGATACAGAAAAAAATTTAAAATTTTAAAATTTAACGTAAAGTTTGAAAAGTCATGACAGAACACACAAACAGCAATAGGAAAGAAAGAGGAAAAGGGGCGGGGGGAGGGGGGGGGGAACTGGCACCTACCATTCATTCTTTACAGTTTTGATATTGTCCATGTCTTTCATTCTGGTGTTTCACCTAATTATGAAAAGAAGATGGTTAAAAAACAAAACAGAACAACAAAAAAAAAACCCAAACCAATCAGACAAAATGCCCAGCACACTTTGCCTCCTTTTGTAGCTGAAACACTCTTTATAGTTTTTCCTGCATTGATAGGATGTTTAACCAGAAACCTCAACCTCCCCTCCCACCAAGTCTCCAGATGGTTCTTTGTTTTCCTGCAGTTTCTAATTTAATGACACATGAACCATGCATCGGTTTCAGACATTCAAAAGGAACATTACTTTTTCATAAAATGTATAAAATAAATTCCACAATAATCATGTGAATTGAAAATACCTGCCCATACTTAGGCTAAGCGAGGAAAAAAATATCACATTCTTTTTCTGAGTGACATGATTTAAACTCCCCTGCTTTTTTCACCGTTGCACAAAAACTGCACTGCCACTGCAGGCATCCGAATGACCTTCACCTTAATAGTGTGCATTACTGAAAGGTGCAAGATTTGTCAGGTTCCTCTTCCTACCACAACTCAACATATTGGTGCAGCATCCCAGAAACTGTGAATTATCACTTCTGGTGTACTGTTTAGCTGGAAAGAAAATCCTGGATTTGCAAGTACTAAATATACTACAGGATTAGTCTGCCGAGTCAAAAGAAATGAAGAATGCCATACTGATCTCATTACACTCACTTCTGAGCTCTCTGGAAGAAGTTACAGAAAAATCACAAAAAGCCAGAGATTCCCAAAAATACCCTTAATAAAATAAAATCACTCTAAAATTAGGCAAGCCCCCAGGAGAACAGAACTTTTAAGTTGCAACTGTGTGTAAAGAGTTATTCCTGAAGACTGCTGGTACAGGTTACATGGATGATGTTCTGCTCCTGGCAGGTTTGGGACTAAGTCATGCTATGGTGCATGGCTTTTAGAGAGCATCAAACTAAGCAGTGACAGCCATCATAATCCTGAAAAAGTAGTATGCACAGCGAGACTAAAATAAATTTTAAGTGGTTTTGACATCTAATTTAGCAAGATGAAGAAGTTAGGGGGAAACAACATTCACTGCAGCACTTAAAAAAAAAAAAAACAACAAACCCACATTCAGTTATTCAGTAGTAATTCATGTTGCTCGGGAGGTTGATACTGGTATTCTTTCATCTTGAAAGCTAAATCGTTGTGAGACACATTCTGTAGCAATGTATATAAGCCTTCATAAAACCCCCAACAGCCAGAAAGATTCACTCAGTATGTCCATAACAGGTTTTAAAGTTTAGGCAGCCTTCAGTTTAACCAGTGCTGTTATGCATTAGGTCAAAACGTTATACTTAGCACACCTTTGACATGACACACAAGATGCAGTACAGTCTTCTTTTTTTTTTCCCCCAATGTTCTGCCAGAGCATTATATATATCAGGCAAGCCTGTGCTGGTACACTGTGACCTTATAAGCATATCTGATTGCTGCACTTGGAACTTTGTACCTTCACTTGGAAAAAATGAACTTTCAGTATCAAGTAAGTATAGTGAATTTAAGAGTGCTTAAAAAATACAATTTTTCAAACTTCCTCCAAATTCAGTTTTAACACACCTTAGCACAAAGTAAGTTTTTGTGTTTTATGCTAATGTGCTTATCTTCTAATCTTTCACTATTCAACAGACTACTCCCCCAAGCAACAAGAGCCACCTCCAGCCATCTGCTTTTGTTGATTCTCTGTGACTTGTCATCAGAGCTGATAAAGAGAGACAGGCACAATGAAGCAGCTCTTCAAATTAATTCTTTTGCTAAATTTGGCTGGCCTCAAATGTGCATGAATAGTATTCAAAACTGGTCAGCTGTGAAAGCTGCTGTTCCTTCTAAAGTACAACAGCCATTATACTTCGAAGAAATGTTTGTGTTAATGTATCAAGGTGTAGAAATCAGCCTATACAGCATATTTACATTTATTATGACCAAAAAGCCACTAGGAGATAGCGATCAGACTGCACTGCGAGCACTTTAGCTCAGCCAGCCAACCCCACTCGCACAAACGTCTCCCACCACCTTCTGACAGACATCCCCAGATGTCACGTAAAACATTAAGAGTTTTGGTACCTATTTTTTGTGTCTGTGATAAAAAGCAGCACAGAACTGAACTTCCACCTGCGGAAATTTAATTTAAAACACAGGAGGAAGCCGAAGGTGCCAGCAGCCCACCACAGCTACCTTGGTCACTGGGGTGGGATACTCCCGACCTTTCCCAGCAGAAGCTTCTCCGGCCAAGGGCTCTCCATCCCGCTCGCCCAGCGGCGGCCCTTCGCTGCCAGGCCTTTGAAACACGCAGCTCCCACCTCCACAGCTACAGACACGCCAGTTTCGGCAGGTGTTTTTGCGCTCAATATCGTTGAGCCCGCGCATCCAGCTACGTCAATGCAAGAGAAACAAAACAGAAACTACCTTTGATGCTTTCTTTGCTCCGAAGAACAGAAATATTCAAGCAAGCACAGGGAGCCTTCTCTCCCCCACAAAAGCCTATCTTACTAACTCTGGCGGAAAGTAAACTTCTCAAGTTGAAAACTGTTTGCAGCAGAGCGCAGTCTGTCACTACGCCACACGGAAATTACGACTGAAAACTGCACCGTGCCGTGTGACAAAGAAACAAGCAGCTACAGAGAGGTGGCAAGTGCAAACTGAAAGCAAGACGAGCATCAGACCTAATGGCCTGAGCGTGCTATGCTCAGGTAAAACTCACAGCGCAACTTCCTCTCCAGCTGGCTAGAAGGGCTCTGCATTTTGGA